TACGGAGCTGCACCGAAGAAGATATTCACAATTGCAATGCCCACGACTGCGTATGGTTGAATCCGTCGTCAAGATAATTGTTTTGGATGCGTTTGTTTTTTTTGTCCCGTGTGTGTTTTCCCAACCATCCTGTTGTGTTGGGTCCTTGTTTTGAAGAGATGGTGCCCCGCGTTTTCCTCTTCTCCTCCTCGCCCTCCTCCTCCCTCTCCTCCCTCCTCCCTGCGTTTCACCCACCCAGCACAGCGCTTCGTAGCCCCATAGAGAGCCCCACCGAAGCCCCCAGTGGGACCGGCCGCATACGTCCCGCACACCCTGCATAGCGCTTCGTGGACCCATCCTCCGTCCTCCCTGCGCTCCACCCACACAGCACAACGCTTCGTGGCCCCATAAGGAATCTCCACCGACGCCCCCAGTGGGACCGCCCGCACGCGTCCCACACACCCAATCTGGCATTTTCACCCACCCAGTACAACGCTTCGTGGCCCCATCAGGAGTTCCACGAAGCCCCCAATTGGACCGCCCTCGTGCTTTCCGCACACGCAATTTGGCATGTTCACCCACCCAGTACAGCGCTTCGTGGCTCTATAAGGACCCCCACGGAAGGTTCCAGCGGGACCGTCCGCATGCGCCCCGTAAACCCAATTTGGCATTTTCACTTGGCACCATAGGGAGCTCCCCCGAAGCCCCCAGTGGGACCGCCCGCATGCGTCATGGAAGCCCAATGTGGTACAACGCTCATACGCTTCGTTGCACCATGGGGAGCTCCACCCAGCGGCACCGCCCGCATGTGTCCACACACACACACGCACACACACACACACACACACACACACACACACACACACACACGCACACACACACACACACACACACCAGATTGGGCATTTTCACCCACCCAGTACAGCGCTTCGTGGCCCCAGGAGGAGCTCCACCGACGGCCCCAGTGCTACCGCCCGCATGCGTTCCCTCGCACCCACTGCAGCGCTCCGTGGCCCCATCGGGAGCTTCACACAAGAAGATATTCACAGTTGCGGTACCCACGACTGTATATGGTTGAATCCGTCGTCAGGACAATTGTGTTGGATGTTTTTTTTATGTGTTTCCCGTGTGTGTTTTCCCAAACATATTGTTGTGTTGGGTCCTCGTTCTGAAGAGACGGTGCCCCGCGTTTTCCTCTTTTCCTCCTCGCCCTCTTCCTCCCTCTCCTCCCTCCTCTCTGCGTTTCACCCACCCAGCACAGCGCTTCGTAGCCCCATAGGGAACTCCACCGAAGCCCCCACTGGGACCGCCCGCGCGCGTCCCCCACACACCCAATTTGGCATTTTTGCCCACCCAGTACAGCGCCTCGTGGCCCCATCGCGAGGCCCACCGAACCCCCAGTGGGACCGCCTGCATGCGTCTCACACACGCAATTTGGCATGTTCACCCACCCAGTACACCGCTTCGTGGCCCTATCGCGAGGTCCACCGAAGCCTCCAAAGCTACCGCCCGCATCCGCTCCCCACACACCCAATTTGAATGTTTTTCCAACCCAGTACAGCGTTACGTGGCCCTATAGGGAGCTCCACCGACGCCGCCCGTGCTACCGCCCGCATCCGCCCCACACACCCAATCTGGCATTTTCACCCACCCAGTACAACGCGTCGTGGCCCCAGAGGGAGCTCCACCGACGGCCCCAGTGCTACCGCCCGCACGCGTTCCCCCCCACCCAGTGCAGCGCTTCGTGGCCCCATAGGGAGCACCGAAGAAGATATTCATAGTTGCGGCACCCACAACTGCATATGGTTTGGTTTTTCGCCAGGATAATTGTTGTTGTTTCTGATCATCCCTCACCCTTGGGGGCGAACGGCGGGAGGGGAGGAGCAGGAGGGGGCGGCAGGGGACGCCGCGGGGGCGGCGGCAGAGAGGAAGCAGGAGGAGGTGGAAGCGGGGGTGGAGGTGGTGCCCAAGGGGGATCACACTTCTGGAAAAGAGAATTTCAAGAGGCTGGGCCTTATTGAAATCCCCGGCAGACGGATTCCTATTGAAATCCTCCACATAAGGATCCCTAGCGTAATCCCCCACAGCAGGATTTCAATCGAAATCGCCCACAGGAGTTGACACCCTTCACAGCGGGTCCCGATTGAAATCCTAGACAGAAGGGTTCCGATTGAAATCTTCTACAGAAAAGGTTCCTATTGAAACCATCCACAGCAGGATCCACATTGATAGCCCCTACAGAAGGAGTACGATCGAAATCCTCTACAGAAGGTGTCCTACTGAAACCCTCCACATTAGGATTCCGATTGATAGCTTCTACAGGAGGATTTCAATTGAAATCACCGACAGAAGGATTCCTGTTGAAATCCTCCACAGAAGGGGCCCCATTGAAATCCTCGACAGAAGGGTTTTTACTGAGACCCTCCACAGCAGGATTCCTATTGATAACCTTTACAGAAGGATTTCTATTGAAGTCCTCTTCAGAAGAAGTCCTACTGAAACCATCCACAGCAGGATTCCTATTGTAATCCTCTGCGTAATGATTCCTATTCAAATCCTTTCGAGGAGGCGTCCTACCAGACTGCTCCACAGAAGGATTCCGATTGAAATCCCCGGCAGAAGGAGTCCTATTGGAATCATACACACAAGGATTCCTATTGGAATCCTCCACATCAGAATTCCTATTGAAATCTCCCACAGGAGTTGAAATCATTCACACCAGGATTTCTTTGAAATCCTCGACAGAAGGCTCATATTGAAGTCCTCGACAGAAGGTTTCCTATTGAAGCCCTCCACAGCAGGATTCCTAGTAATAGCTTCTACAGAAGGATTCCTAGTGAAATCCTCTTCAGAAGGAGTCCTGCTGAAACCCTTCACAGCAGGATTCCTATTGTAGTCCTTTTGCACAAGGACTCATATTGAAATCCTGCGCAGAAGGACTCTCAGTGAACTCCTCCGCAACAGGATTTTTTTTGAAATCACCGACAGAAGGATTCCTATTGAAATCCTCCCTATAAGGAGTTTCATTGTAATCCTCCACAACAGGAGTTTCATTGATTTTCTCCATTGGAGTTGAATCCACCCACAGCTGGATTTCGATTGAAATCTTCGACAGAAGGGTTCCCATTGAAATCCTCTACAGGAGGGCGCCTGTTGAAACCCTCCACAGAAGGATTCATAGTGCCAGCCTCTACAGAAGGATTCCTAGTGAAATCCTTTACAGAAGGAGTCCTACTGAAACCCCCCACAGCAGGGTTACGACTGAAATCCTTTACAGAAGGATTCTGGTTGAAATATGTTACATAAGGATTCTTACCAAATTCCTCCACATCAGGTTTCCTACTGAACTCCGCCACCTAAGGATTTCTTTTGAAACCCTCCACAGAAGGATTCCTATGGGAATCCTCCGCAACAGGATTCCCAATGGAATCCTCAACAGAAGGACTCCGATTGCAATCCTCAACAGAAGGTTTCCGATTTCAATCCTCGGGGGAAGGATTCCCACTGAACCCCATGAAATCGTTTACGCTGAAGTTCACGATGAGGCACTCTGCGATCACTGTCATAAGATACGAAATGCGCCCGACGCATCGTTGCCATGATTTCGCGGATTTTCTGGGGGACGGGGATGCCCGAGCCAATATCTACAGATATATATATATATATGTATATATGTACACACACACACATATATATATATACAAACACATATATGTATGTGTGTACACACGAAACTGCGTTCGCGCTCTTGCGAATTCTGAAGAAAACCATTGTTGGTTCACCCTTTTGTTATACAATGCTACCAAACGGGCCTCTCCGCGCGCGCATGTGGAAATCGTTCGAACGCCTTTGCGCGCGTGCTGTCGCAAGAACCCCTCGCACAAGAACAGCACGAAATGTTCACGCGCGCGGCGTCGCGCGCGCGTGCCCAAATCATTTGTTAATACATATATAGATGTATAATAAACGTTGGCTTCGTACGGATTTCAAAAAAGAATGCCTTGAAAACATATCATTCACATGTGTTTGCACCATCAGTTTTTCAAAGTAATCCTGCGTTCGCGGCCTTGGCTTTCCAACATGTGCATCAAGTCCTGCCAAGCGGACCTCTCGCGCCGAATGTCAGACTCGTTCGAACGCTTGCGCGCGTGCTGTGGGGAGGCACGATCCGTTTCGAAAATATCCGACGGCCCACTCGCCCGCGTCGGCCGTGCGCGCATGTCGAACCCCTTCAAAAACCTTCATCGCCGACGCAAGAACATCGTCATCGCTATCGGCGGGCCAACGTCAGCGCCGGCATTGGCCTTGCCGTCGTCATCGCCAAAATCGTCACCACCGCCGTTACTTCCATAATTGTGTCTACCGTTGTCGGCGTCGCCATAATACCGCGCCCGCCCAAGCCACCGATTCGCACCGAAGTGCCCGTTGGGAAGTGCCCAGCGATCAGCGCCACCACGGCCGCGACTGTCGCGCCAAACTAGTTGGCCGCTGTGCGCGCGAGCATGCGCCGGTCAGCGCGGCCGCAGGGATGCACCAGCCAACGCCAAGCACTCATCGAAATCGCCGCCGCATGGGCTGTGCAAACCAAGATGCGGGTCGGAGAGTGGGATGTTTGCAAGGGCATGGGATTTGCCAACTCGCTTGTAAAACAAATTGCACCAAGAGGTTTCACCAAATCTGTTGCACAACATAGCTCGCACAACATAGTTTGCACAACCCAGACTGCACCGCATATGTTGCACACCATGGATCGCACAACATATACTGCACAAAATATGTCGCACAACACAAGCCGCACCACATAGACTGCACCACGCAGGCTGCACCGCATATATTGCACCACGCGGATTGCACCACACATATATCGCTCTACCAAAATTGCACAGCAAACACTTCCAGAAACACATTGTGTGGGGTCCACGTTGGCTAACAATTGCTTATAGCTATTATGCCAGCATCCCTTGCTGCATCGACCGTTGGCCCCGCTGTGGCCGCCATCGCCGCCTCCAGCCCGGTGTTAGGCGCATGAGGCCATCGAGATGAAGAAGGTATGGACGACGCAGGAGCAGGCCGAGAAGGACGCAGTGGTGCAAGCAAGGAGCCCCGTTCCCGACCCCTCTTCATGACCACCGTGATGGCTACGATGGAGAGCAATGAGCATGATGACGGCGAAGACGCTTGACTGATGGCCAGATTAGACGATCGAACTACTGATTCGTATGATCATGTTGGCGACGCGTTGTGGCGATGACAGTGGTGATGGTGATCAGGGTGATGATGATGATGATGATGATGGTGATGATGATGGTGATGGTGATGGTGATGGTGATGGTGATGACGACGACGACGAAAATGATGTTAAGCGTGGTGTTAATAGCGACCCTGCTGCCTCTCATGTCCAGAAACATGACCGCTGCTCTTTGCCCTAGCCGCACATCCCTATCATCGATGATGCCCGCCCCCGAGCGCTGTCCAGCAAGTTTGGCGGCGAAGTCGAATCTGCGAGACGTCTAAATCGAGCGTCCCGAGACGAGGGCCTTACGATCGCAGGCACCTCGCCGCAGCCGCCGCCCGTGTGTGTGTGTGTGTGCGTGTGTGCGTGTGTTGTGTGTGTGTTGTGTGTGTTGTGTGTGCGTGTGTGTGTGTGTGTGTGTGTGTGTGCGTGTGTGTGTGTTTGTGTGTGTCGGTGTGTGCGTGCGTACGTGTGTGTGTGTTGTGTGTGTGTGTGTGTTGTGTGTGTTGTGTGTTGTGTGTTGTGTGTGCTGTGTGTTGTGTGCTGTGTGTGCTGGGTGTGCCGTGTGTGCTGTGTGTGTTGTGGTGTGTGTGTGTGTTTGTGTGTTGCGTGTTATGTGTGTCGTGTGTTGTGTGTTATGTGTGTGTTGTGTGTTCGTGTGTCGTGTGTATTGTGTGTGGTGTGTGTGTGTGTCTGCGTGCCTGCGTGTCTGTGGTGTGTGGTGAGTTGTGTGTTGTGTGTGTAGTGTGTATGTGCGTGTCCTTGTGTGTTGTGTGCGTTGTGTGTTGTGTGTGTTGTGCGTGCTGTGTGTGGTGTGTGTTGTGTGTGCTGTGTGTGCTGTGTGTGTGTTGTGTTGTGTGTGTGTTTGTGTGTGTGGCATGTGTGTTATGAGTGTTGTGTGATGTGTGAATTATGTGTGCTGTGTGTTGTGTGTTATGTGTGTTGTGTGTTTGTGTGTTGTGTGTTGTGTGTGTTTGTCTGTCTTGTGTTGTGCGTGTGTTTGCCTGTGTTGCGTGTGTGTTGTGTGTTGTGTGTTGTGTGTGGATGTGTATGTGCGTGCGTGCGTGCGTGCGTGTGTGCGTGTGTACGTGTGTGCGTGTGCGTGTGTGTGTGTGTTGAAGCCGCTGGCCTTTGCTGTCCTTCCTCCTCGCTTGTCTTCTGCACTCTGCCGGCTGCACGTGAGAGTGACCTCTCGCCGGAGAGACACTTGGGGCGGGCACACCGGGGTCCCCAGATGGTGGAATGCGAGGCGAAAGCATCGACTTGGACGGATGAGGAGAAGGAGGAGGCTAGATGGATGGATGAGGGAGTGGCGAGAAGGAAGATGAATAGGATGAGGAGGAGGAGGAGGAGGAGAAGGCGGAGGAGAGGAAGAGGAAAAACAGGAGTAGGAGGAGGAAGGGGGAGCAGGAGGAGGAGGGCGAGCACAAGCACGCTCGGGTTCAGGCTCCCCGGCGGCCCCCCACAGGCTGCGCACCAGCGGTCACTCCTGGCGTGTGGTCACTCTCTGCGTGTAGCCGGCCACCTGCCCAGAGCGCGAGCCGCCTCGCCTGGAGCTGCGGCCCCCTTCAGGAGGGGAAAAAACACACAGACACAATGAATCTTCGGCTCCCGGGAAAATATGAGAAAGTATGGGAAAAGATGGGGAACCCTGTGATTTGTGTGTTTGCTTGCGTGTCCCAGGGCCCCTTTCACTCCTGCCCGCGAGCTCCAGGATCAGCAGGGGCGCGCGGGGCCAGGGCCTCCGAGCGCCAGGAGCGCCGCTCGTGCTCCCCCTCGCGCGGCCGCTCCTGCGCCGGGAGGTCGCCAGGAGCCACCTTGGCACCTTCGGAGAGGACCATCGAGGAACATCCCTGATCACTTGGCGAACACAAAAACGCACGAAACCGAAAGAAGCACAGGGAATGGACGTCCGAGCGATGGCGAGAGCCTCATTCGGGCCGCGATGCCGCTCGCGCGCCAGCGCGCGGCCCAGCTCGCGCGGGGCCGCCTCTGGAGAGCGGGCCTCTGCGCCTCCCTTGCCGTGGGGCTCCTCGCTGCCGTCGTGCCGAGCCCGGCCCGCGCGGTCTCCGCGTCGTCGCGCTGCTGCTCCGCGTGTCTTGGGCCCCGCGCGGCCGGACGCCGGGTTGGGCTCCGCCCGCCGCCTCCCCCTCCTCCTCCTCCTCCTCCTCCTCCTCCTCCTCCTCCTCCTGCTTCTCCTCCTCCTCCTTCTCCCTCCTCCTCCTCCGCCTCCTCCTCCTCCTCCTCCTCTCCTCTTCCTCCTCCTCCGCCTCCTCCTCTTCCTCCTC